CGTTCCTTTGATATATTCAGAGATTGAAAAAACTCACAGTCACTGAATTTTGTCCGTTTCTTTGATTCTCCTGATGCGACATCTTGTGCATAATGCGCGACAGTGCCCTTTAGAAGATCCCGTAACTCGTTGTCGTCCGCCTCAAAAGTATAAATTCCTTGCCCATTTTTCTGAAGTTTGTTGAGAGTCACCGGAATACTTTTGCGCCTTCTCGTGCCTTGCCGTGATTGCTGGGACTGAACCTTTAATTCTGCATATACCGTCTGTGGTATTTCCGGCATATCAATATCAGTGTCGAGGATTCCACCCTTTCCTCTTGTAATCATGGACGTCGGATCTGGTTTTAAAGTATCATAATCCTCCAAACTATCACTCTCCGACACCGAAGACTCTCGCCGATTTCTATCAACTGTTTCCAACGCCTTTTTCAGAGATTGCGAATATTTAGGGCGACTAGGAGACTTGGATGTTTGTCTTGGTTTGGAGTTGCCAACGCCATTTTCCCTCGAATGTTTATCTAACGGAGTTTGAGTTGGGTGTGCTGGATTTGAGAGAGAGGACATCGTCATGGGAGGGGGGGCAGTCGTGGATGCCATTCTAACCATCTTGTCAAGCTATATTGAGAGAAGGTGTGTTCCAGAACGAGAGAAGGTTATTGAAATTTAGATTCGGAGATCTAGTTTGTCTCAAGAGGCGCAAGAGAGAGAATTTACTAGTGGTGTTAGTCTATAACTTCCTGCGAACTTCCTGCGAATTTTCTTGGGTGCGGTATCAAACTCACTCAGTGTCCCAGAATAAGAGAAATTATGACAGCGAACCTGTAGCAAGACTGTTCCCAAATGATTGCTTATTAGCCGTACCTCAATGACTAGTATAAATCATGCTTCAATCTCAATGGTTTGTCGATAACCTAGAAGCAGACAATACAGTAGCCGGGCGATACTTTGACGTTTCAAAGTATACCTAGGTATTGCTATTCGGTACCCGAGTAGATTAATCCAAATGGCTCAACTTGCGATGTTGCCCGAAGAAGGAAGTGTATTGAGGCTGAATAGGTAGGTAAATGCCGGTGCTGTGCAGGATGCAGGTACAAGATTAGAAGATTGATAGAAATTCAATGGAAGAAAATAATATGATTGTTAAAAAAAACGAAGAATAAAAATCTTTATGATATCTATACCTTTGAAACAATAGCTTGGAAATGATTAGATGCCGACTGGATACACAATTCAAGAAAAAAACACGATAGAGATGGAAACCCCGGAAAGGTAAAGGAATAACGGAAGTAGTATGTATCTCGCGCGCACATTAACATTTCCTTAAGTCTCCGAATCGTATGACTGATGATTAAGTCTTATTCTTTCTTACCTGAGACCTCTTTACTGTGAGTCTGTGATGTACTTACTGTAGGGAATTGAGGGGCATGATGAAGCTTGGCATATGGCATATGGATATCGCACATCGCACATCGCCAGAAGAAAGGCCGAGAAAGTTTGTTAGATTCATGAATATAATAATTGTCATAGTTCTCTTCTTCTCCCTTCATTGTGAGCTTGAGTCATATCACAGGAAAGTCACTTTGGTCCGTACATGGAAAGAGATCCGATCGGCGACTTGTCAAGTGATGAGTGTGTGATGTTCAATTAGGGATTAGAATGATGAAAGAAGAAAGTTTCGAATGATTTAGGAATCTTCGGAAGTGTAAATTGTAATTTAAGGCCTAACCTTATTAGCTGCATCATGTGGAGTACCTAGTAGTACGGAGTAATATTAAGTATAAAATCCTCGGGGTTATTATGATTGGAACCTTCGTAAACTTACGAATGGCTTATGTAATGCTAAAATTGATAAAAATGACGTAAATTCACGGAGTCTTTTGGTGCCGCCGTCCGAGCCATATTCCGTTCCCAGTGTGCCATTCCATTACCCATCCTTTACCCCTTCAGCCCTGTCTAGATCCCCTAGAATCTAAGAGCTAGGTAGGTATCTATCTACCTACTAGTTGGTATGTACGCATCGTCATATAGGTACACATCGCATCACAACTACCGGCAGTAACGGAAAATAATTTCTAATCATTGTAAGTATGCAAACTTAGAATATCCACGGCAGTCCCAATCTACTAATGTGTGGAATACAAATCCAACGCTTTTTTCCCCTTCTAAATTTACATCAAATAACCTATCAGACAGATCAAGGCAAGTTCGCCGATAACAGATCGGTGAGAAGAACATTGCCAGTATTTCTTGCCAAATCGCTTGCCAATTGTCCCTGAGCATCCCGAAGATTCCGGATATCTTCTCCATCAGCAGTATCACGTCCTACACCCATCGTCTCTGCCATTTGAGTGATTTGCTCCGGGAAGATATCGGTTGGAAGCGTTGAAGCGAGCCATAACAACAGCCAGATGATTTCTTCCTGTCCTTTTTCAACAGCCACATGCAAACCACTCTTCATCTCATCCAAAGGATCCTGATAACGCAGAATTGGCTTTGCCGATAGCCCTTCTCCATCCTCGTCATCATCTACTGCGCTGAGTAGATCATTAATTCCAAAAACATCACCCTCGGCACACATCGTCATGAATGCTCGAGCGGGACGTGCTTCTGGGTGTTCATCGAGATAGGCTTCTTCAGTGATAAGAGGCAAGATGTCAAGGTCTTCTTGAACTCCTCCCTCGTTGTGATATCTTGTAGGAACTCGGGTTCCGGAGACTGATCTTGAAGCTGAAGCCACTGAAGTTGCAATTGAATTATCACACGATGGACAATGGAGCTTATTCAAAATTTGAGGAGATTCATCCAAAAGACATTGCCTATGTTGGAATTAGTAAGTCAACTGATAAAGTCGGTAGATCAATGGCAAAATTCCTATGCTCGAATAATGAAGCATAGAACGGCACGTGAAAAAATAAGAGTTATCTCTGTGAGGTCAAATCCGTTGTGCAGATGCCATCATGACAAACGCTAGAGAGCGGTGTCCCTTGAGAGATACTTTCTTGTGTGTGGCTTGAATGATCATGGTATGAATGCGTCCGATGAGAGATGTACGATATACCTCTCGAAGAACTATCTTCGGGCTAACTTTCATGCAACGAATATGTTCCATATGTACATCCGGTTCAGGCGCTTCAAGTCCCAGGTATCATAAAAGGAAATAGAAATAAGCTTGAACTTTCAGACCGAGAAAAAGTCAAATATATTCTTACCAATGCATATGACATCCGCAAATCAACTGAAGGTCATCTGGAACGCTTCCCATAGAAGAGCTTCCACCTTCAAATTGCTCCAACTCCTCTGGGTCGAGTTGGACGGTCAAACTTTCCGAGCAGAGTTTACAGGTATCCATGGTTGTATGAAATAATAAAGAAAAGTAAATGATTTAGTACTGATTTATTAAAAAGTCGTTATGTGGTGGTGTTTTGAAATAAAAATTCTCATGTAGAATCGTTGAAGGTCTTTACTTTAATAGCGGGGAGCAAAAAAAAAGTAATAATCTAAAATTTTCTTATCGTCTGAACGTTTCTATTCAATTTTGTAGTCTTCTTCTAAATTATCCGGAACACCACGCAAAGTCATATAATGAGCGGGCATTCAAATCTAGATATGTAAGAGGACCAGTCCTATTTTCGCCATTCGAATGAGACCGAACATGCATAGAGTTTGTATCTCATGCCAGCCTCCAACAAGATGGCGGTATCGATGATTTATCCCTATCTATCTATCTCTATCTATGCTCTCCAGCTACCATTCGCATTCCCTACCACTTCCGTTGGCTACCCATCTGTCCACCCTTCCTTACTTGGTTTGTATATATTTTGTGTGTGATGCCGTCGCTACCATGGGTCCTGGCTGGCCATCGACTAGCTTACTGATTCTAATCGTGGTAAAAGCAAGTGATCGTCCAACTTTCGACGCCGTGGCCTCAATATTCAAGACATCCCCTAATTGAGCAGTCCCAATATAAGTGACGTGAATATCAATGCTTGCCCCAGACTTCTCCAATCCATGTGAAGCAATCGCAAGACCTCCAGACCAATCGACCAAACTAGCACTCACTGCACCGTGAATAGTACCTCGAGAATTGACATGATTGTTTTCAACCGTCAAACGCGAGACCACCAGACCTTTTGTAGCCGATATGATTTCAACATTTGCGAGAAGAAAGTCGTAGATGGGACTGTTGCCTTTCATGTTATCCCATACTTTCTTGACGTGGATCAATTCTTCCGTTGGGTTATCCATGGCGACGGAACTCATTGTGTACAATCAGTTGCCTGAAATGCGGCGAAGGGGTTGTCGTCAGCAATGGCGAAAGTGTACGTATACGCGTATAACAAAGGTCTTGGGATATAGGATATAGGATATAGGATATAGGGATATAGTAGATCTATATTTACCTGTTTTAAAAGCCCAAGGTTATAAAATGGAAATGTGCAGCAATGGCTTAACTTGAGAATATCAAGGAAATCAAAAGAACCTTGAGCGAGACAGAACGACAGAACGACAGAACGGACAAAACGGACGGTGATCAATTACCAGCCAGATATCCCGAAATTGGAAGACAGATACGAGAGACCGGCCGGTTGTACGAAATTGCGAGTGCGAGACAACCGCTGCCCAGAAACGTCAGCGGGGTTTGGGCTGTGCATCGCATCATATCAATTTCACATATTGATATGCATTGAGCCATAATTTGAACTCAAAATCCCCCCATAAACCCTTGAAAGAATCCAACATTTTGCTTCTTCTCCCTCTTCTTCCTCTACAACCCAATTCCGACAAAGAAACAATTGTTGTCTTGCTACGATTCACAATTGTTACGTGTTTTGCAGCATCTTGCGCCGGCATCAGTATTCATAGTGACATAAATTGGGAGGGGTATCCACACCACAGCTACCTAATACCGATAGGTACCTCAACCTGCCTCCTGAATTACGCAACCAACAATTCAAGTCTTTTCGACTGCGAAAGTCAAGACCAGAATAACAATCCGCAAAGATGAATATCATTAAGTTGCAGAGGTATGTACACAATCCAATAGAGCTATTAATTAGTTCGAGGCGGCGTTTGTCTAACCTGCTTGGATTCATAGGAAGTATCCTCAATTCCAACAAGATGAGATCTTCGGTCTCCAAGATGCTTTCCGTAAACTCGACGTGGACGATAAGGGATACATTGACGAGGCTACTGCAATTAAAGCTACACAAGGCAGTGAAAGACAACCATATGATGTTGTTAGACAAGCTTTGAAAGAGGTCGAGCTTGATTCATCTCGAAGAGTCGAGCTGGAAGATTATGTAGGAGTAAGTCCAGGCAAACACTTATCTGGCACATTGAAGAATGTCGACTAATCATACCTAAGCTTATCTCAAAACTCCGCGTCTCTTCACCAGCACAACAGCGCATGTCAACTGGTCCACAGAGTCCTGCTCGTGGAGGAATTGTATCGCAACAAACCGGAGGAGCTGGAAGCGGGCATGCTTCAAAGGGAAGCGTCAGCGGTCGTATTCAAGTCCAGGGATCTTCATCAAACGTTACCCATACCATCAACGAAGATGAGCGAACAGAATTCACCCGTCATATCAACGCAGTGTTGGCAGGCGACGCAGATATTGGCTCGCGTCTACCATTTCCTACAGATACCTTTGAGATGTTCGACGAGTGCAAGGATGGTCTCGTGTTAGCCAAATTGATCAACGACAGTGTGCCGGATACTATTGATGAGCGTGTGCTGAATCGTCCCGGAAAGAAGATCAAGACCCTTAACGCATTCCACATGACTGAGAACAACAACATTGTTATTGAATCAGCGAAGGGTATTGGCTGCTCGGTGGTCAACATTGGTAGTGGAGATATTATTGAAGTTCGGGAACATTTGATTTTGGGTCTGATTTGGCAGGTTATCAGAAGAGGTCTGTTGAACAAGATTGATATCAAGCTTCATCCTGAGTTGTACAGACTCTTGGAAGACGACGAGACACTGGAACAATTTTTGAGATTGCCTCCCGAGCAAATCTTACTCAGATGGGTCAATTATCATCTGAAGGCTGCAAATTGGCCACGAAGGTAAGATTAATCTCAAGGGTATCTAGAGCTTACTAACATTCTATTAGAGTTGCGAACTTTTCTAGCGATGTGAAGGATGCTGAAAATTACACTGTTCTTCTATCCCAGATTGCGCCGGAGTGTTGCGACCGAGCACCATTACAGACACGCGATCTTCATCAAAGAGCAGAGCAAGTTTTACAGAACGCCGATAAGTTAGACTGCCGGAAGTTCCTTACACCTAGCTCCCTTGTAGCAGGAAACCCTAAGTTGAACTTGGCTTTCGTTGCCAATCTCTTCAATACCCGTCCAGCACTGGATCCTATCACCGAGGAAGAAAAGGCCCAGGTTGATGATTTCGATGCTGAGGGTGAGAGAGAAGCGAGAGTCTTCACTCTCTGGCTGAACAGTCTTGATGTTCAACCAGGAGTAAACTCGTTATACGAAGATCTCAAGGATGGTACCATTATTTTGCAGGCATACGACAAGGTTATCAAGGGCTCTGTTAACTGGCGTCATGTGAACAAGATGCCTGCTAGTGGAGAGATGTCGAGATTCAAGGCTCTAGAAAACACAAACTACGCTATTGAGCTCGGAAAGCAAAACCGTTTCTCTCTGGTCGGTGTTCAAGGAGCAGATATTTACGATGGTCAACGAACTCTCACTCTTGGTCTCGTCTGGCAATTGATGCGCAGAGATATCTCCGAAACCCTCACAGCTCTCGCTCAACGTCTTGGCAAGCGCGAAATTTCAGATGCAGAAATGATCAAGTGGGCAAACAACATGTCACAGAAGGGTGGAAAGAGTTCTACTATCCGCTCTTTCAAGGATCAATCAATTGGAACTGGTGTCTTTCTCCTCGATGTTTTGAACGGAATGAAGAGCAGTTACGTTGATTACGATCTCGTGACGCCAGGAGGAACCGAGGATGATGCTTATATGAACGCCAAGTTGAGTATCAGTATTGCGAGAAAGATGGGAGCGACAATTTGGTTGGTTCCGGAGGATATTTGTCAAGTTAGAAGTCGCTTGGTGGTTACTTTTATTGGTATGTTTGTTTTTGTCTTTCTTTCTTTCTCTCTTTCTCTCTTTCCCCTGCGGATCGATCTTGTGGAAGTGAGAGTTCTAACTTTTTCCTTTAGGTTCTTTGATGGCGACAGCCGAGAAGATGCAGTAAATTGGTTGATGGGATGGGATGGGATGAGATGGGATGGCGGAATTCCTAATCGATGGATGGACGGATGGACGGATGGATGGATGATGAGAAATTACGATAGCGATGCTAGTGATGATAGTTAGTAAAAAGTGCGTGCAGGCGAATCAATGGCTGTAGGACATTAGAAAAGCATTGGTAGTTATTTTCATTTCATGAGAGAGAAAGAGAAAAGGGCGGATTCTTGATGATTCGATTTGATTATGAGAAAGCGCGTTGTTCATGAAAATATCACAGCTGCATTAAATATTAAACTCCATGCTGTATGGCACTCACTCACTCACTTTATCAAATGCGGTAGGTATCTAGGTATACTTATCTGATGAAGATTAGATAACATTGTAAAGTGATAGATAAAATGCCATAAACTTCCCCCTCCCCCTCCCTTCCCCCTCCCATCAAAAAAAAAAGAGAAAAAGAAAGAATCAAGCCTGCAAAGCTATCTCCTCTCTACTCGCATAACTACCCCCCTTCCACGCGGCCTTCGGATCGCTCCTCTGATCAACCTCCCTCTCCTCGCCTACCTTTCCCCAGCCCCCTCCTCCAGGGGTATGAATAATAATGCGCTCGCCAGCTTTCATTGCCGCGGTATTTTTACCCCCGAGATTGATGCGGCGTTCTTCGTATTGTGTTTCTTGGGTTTCTTTTTCTTTTTCTTTTTCATTCTCATTTTCATTTTTATGATTGTCCAGAGACCCTAACCCAGGCTCCCGCAACAATAAATCCGATCTCCCCCTATCGCTCTTCGCCACCTTCCGCACCCAGATATTCAACCCGCATTGTGCGTCTGCGCCGCCCTCGAGCCCATACGGTCTGTAGACTCTTCTTTCACTTAGGATGGACACCTGGACGGGGATTCGAAACTCGATGTCGCGGATGACTCCGTCCCCGCCCCTGTATTTTCCCTCTCCTCCACTTCCCGCGCGGAGAGAAAATTCTCTCAACAGGACGGGATAGCGACGTTCGAAGACTTCCGCATCTGTGATTCGCGTATTCGTCATGTGCGTGTGCACACCGCTTGTTCCGTCCCAGTGTTTTCCTGCACCGCTTCCACCGGCGATGGTTTCGTAGTATCCGAATCCCTTGACGTGTTTCTGGCCGTCGACGTTGCCGCCGAAGCCGAAGGTGAGATTGTTGCAGTCGCCTTGGGAGGCGGCACAGGCGCGGAAGGCGCGGAGGATGACATCTGTGACGCGTTGAGAGGTGAGGACGTTACCGCCGACGACGGCGGCTTTGTCTGAGGGGGAGAGGAAGGATTTGGGTGGGATGAGGACGGTGATGGGTTTGAGACAGCCTTGGTTGAGGGGGATGTCTTCACTGATAAGACTGCGGAGACAGTAGATGATTGCGCTGTAGGTTACGGCTTGGGGGGCGTTGGTGTTTGCTTGAGATTTGTTAGTTGGTGAGGAGCGAGATCAGGATGTTGGGGAAGTACTTACCGTATACTTCTGGACCTGTTCCCTCGAAATCGAACACGGCTTCTCCTTTTTCGGCGTCGATGGTGATTTTCAATTGGATCGGGCTGCCATCATCCATATAATCGATTGCAGAGAGATCTTGTCCTTCGAATCGCTTGCTAACATCTTTCAGGAGATTTCTCACACTAAGCTCGGCATTATTCTGGATATTAACCATGTAGAAGTTTACCACTTCCTCGCCATATTCCTCAATCAAAGTACTGATAAGATTGATGCCCTTCATGTTGCTAGAAATTTGAGCTTTGAGATCCGAGATATTATCTGCCAAACATCGTGTACCACTACATCCTTGATATTGTGCAGGCTCGTCAAGAAGAAGCTGTGTCATTCTTTCCTCGTTAAAATGGCCTGCGCTAACTAGTTTCTCAGACTTGATTGCGGCTCCTTCTTGGTATAATTCTCTCGAATGTGGAGGCATACTACCGGGAAGAATACCACCAATATCAGCGTGATGGGCTCTAGAAGCGACGTAGAAAAGAATTTTATCACCAGCCGGATTGAAAGCAGGGGTGATGACTGTAATATCAGGAAGATGTGTTCCTCCATATTCAGGATGATTGGAAACTATGACATCTCCTTTAACAAGCTTGCCTTTCCAAATTTCAGCTTGACGTTTGACGCAGGTAGACATTGAGCCCAGATGGACTGGAAGATGTGGAGCATTGGCGACCAATCCACCAGTAGAGTCAAACAATGCGCATGAATAGTCGAGTCTCTCCTTGACATTTGTGCTGACACTGGTTTTCTGAAGTGCTCTGCCCATCTGTTCTGCAATAGCCATGAACCTATGAGCAAAGATACTAAGCATAATAGGGTCTACTGATTTTGTTTCGTCTTTGGTCGAGGATCTGAGAGTTATTAGCAAAAATGTCCCAATCCCACATAATTTTTGTGCAAAACTTACTTGTCTTTGCTTTCATGTTCACCGATATTTATTACTACGTGCGTTTCGATTATCAATGCACTTGCGCCGGGAGTAATAACAACAGTTTGTGTTCCATCTGCAAGAATTGCTGGTCCCTTGATTCGGTCACCGGTATCAAGATCTTCCAGCTTGTATATAGGGGTATCTTGTCGACCGCCTTCAAAGTATACTTGGGATCTCTTGTACTCTTTCTTGCCAGTTTCAACATCCTTAGGTTTGATCTCCTTCAATTGTTGATCCACTGTCTTTTCAAGTCCTTCAAAACTCTTTCCAATACCACGAACTCGAACATCGTCTACAATAATATCTCGATCAGGTAAAGTGAAACCGAACTCTTGTTGATGTTGCTTGATGAAAGCTTTCCCGTAAGCCCATTCATCACCGCCGAATTCCTCCACATCTTGCTTATCAGGTTTGACAACCATCAATGCAGATTCAGTGCCACGGTATCTCATATTCAAATATTCCTCGTGAACTATAGAGCTATCTTGGAACCCTTGTGATTTTAGGGCATTGGTCGACTTTTGTTTGAGCTCCTCGATTTTCTTCTTCAAGTAGTCTCGTGACTCTCCATCGTCGGACCATATCTTTGATTCTGGCTCCTGTTCCTCATCGACTACATCAGCTAAAGCCATACCATACGCTGACAGCACCGATGAATAGCGATGAACAAGTATCTGGCGTATACCCAAACTCTCAGCAATCGCAACGGCATGTTGTCCACCAGCACCCCCAAATGTCGCAAGGCGGTGCTTGGATGTATCAAAACCCTTTGCTTCGGTTAGAGATCGGATGGGTCGGGTCATGGTTTCGTTCGCGACAGTCAAGAATCCGTAAGCGACTTCATCAGCAGTCATGTTTTTACCCATCTCCTTGTTGACTTGTTCGGCTAGTTCTTGAAGAAGCTTCTCGCTTGCTGTAACATCGAGACCCTCATCTTCATTCTTTCCGAAAATCTTTGGAAAGAAATCAGGAATGAGTCGACCCAAGAAAAGATTTGCATCGGTAACCGCAGCTGGCCCTCCCTTGCGATAACATGCAGGTCCAGGATGTGCACCGGCCGATTCTGGTCCAACCACAAACAATCCATTCTTAAAGAATAGACGCGAACCACCACCTGCAGCTACAGTATTGATATCGAGTTGAGGAGACTGAATAGTCACACCAGCTGTAGTGGTCTCAAAGACATGTTCATATCTTCCCGAGCCATATCTAGAGACATCAGTAGAGGTACCGCCCATGTCAAACCCAATTACGGGTATCTTAGTCTCAGGGTCATATGAAGTAAGTGCATATCCTACAACTCCTCCAGCAGGGCCCGAGAGAATTGCTTTAAGGCCCGAGAAGTTGTCGACATCTACCAGACCTCCATCACTCTGCATAAATTCGCACCGAGCTCCTTTTGCTCCTTTTGCATTTTTCACGCTTTCCGCTCCGAGACCACCTTCAAAGCCTTTGGAAAATCCGGCGATATACTTTTTGATCGCGGGTGTTAAATATGCATCAGCACATGCTGATGTGGCTCTCGGGACCAATTTGATCATAGGCATCAGTTCATGACTAAGAGATACATGCTCAAATCCAATCTCTTTCGCAATTTTGCCAACCAAGGCTTCGTGGTCAGGGAATGTATAGCCATGCATCAAACAAACTGCTATACTTTTAATTCCTTGATCGAAAACTTCCTGTAATTGTGATCGGATGGTTTGCTCTTCAGGACGCTGCAATATGCGCACAGCTTCGGAAGATAAACCCCGCACCAGATCTTGATCTTGTGTACCACTGGCTTCAACTTTGGTGATACTTCGCTCCGGATCTTCAGCGTAATCTTCCAACGTAACCCGTTCGTCAATCTCCACTACAAATTCGTACAAGACGTCAGGTTTTTTGATCGCGAGATCAAAAATCTTAGGTCTTGATTGATTGCCAATTTCCAGACAATCTTTGAATCCCTTGGTCACCACCATAGCAATTTTTTCGCCCTTTCTTTCCAGTAATGCGTTCGTAGCTACGGTGGTTCCCATTCGAATGGATTCTATCTTTGAAGTATCTAAAGGCTCTCCACGAGGAATATCTTTCTTGAGGAATTTGGACATCAGCCGCCTGATACCCTCCAGAGGGGCATCATCGTAGTTGGAAGGGTCTTCAGATAGGAGTTTGATAATCACATCATCCTCCATCTTCCCCGTGCCTGGATTTCCCACACAGTCGGTGAAGGTTCCACCACGCTGTGCTCATGGTTAGCATAGTGCTGTGGAATTGTCAAAGCCATGAAATTGCTTTACATCTCCTTGGATGTTCAAAGGCTAGACCATAATGCCCGGGATAGGCCATAGGATCATAATAATGCAGTCTTCCTTCTACAAGTGCCACAGACTAACGAAAGCTATGATAGAAATTTGTTCCACGTACATCTATGGCAATTCTAATTCCGCCTTGCGTTTGCTTGTGTTCCCCCATCTTAAATGAGTGTGTTGAAAGACTGTGAGGGATGTATGAGATCGAACGACGAAGTGGCAAAAAGTAATGTATCACGGAAGTCAAAGCTGGCTGTCAAATGA